ATATGCATGAGCATACACACTGATAACGAACAACTCAGCCGCATACCCAGCGCACCCACACACATGCACGCTAAGATTTAGGGTGAAATACCTGGGGGATTAGGACGCGTGGAATGGGAGAGGCTAAGTCGCAGGCAGATCTCTTAGCATTATCATAAAAGGATGAAACCTTTGGAGGATTATGAATTTCGAAAACTTTTGAAATGTCAAGCACTTTCAAGCTGAACTTTTCCACATGTTATGCATTGCTAGCTGTGCTTCTCAGGTTTAGCATGTGGTTACTGGCAATTGAGTTCAACTCAGTTATATAAAACCGAGATTTTACACGCACACACACACATACACTCGTCATTTTGTTCAGCTGCTAAATTGCTCACTAATGAAAATAGCTAATCAGCCAATCACATGGCAGTAATGCAACACAATTAGGCATCCTGCAGCTCAAACTGAGCATCTGTATGGGGAAGAATGATGATGTAAGTGATTCTGAACGTGGCATGGTTTTTGGTGCCAGATGGGCTGGCCTAAGACTTTCAGAAACTGCTGATGTACATCTCCATGATTTACAGAGAGTGTTCCAAAAAGAGAAGAAATATTGCATATACATCAGTTCTCTGGGGGAAAAAATGCCTTGCTGATGCCAGAAGTCGGAGGTGAATGACCAAACGAATTAGAGCTAACAATAAGACAACAGTAACTCAATTGCTTGTTATAGTCAAGGTATGCTCCTTAAGGTTCAATTCAAACTGGACTGTGTACCTAATAAAGTATCATCCTTTAATACTGTGAATAATTAGCTGCTGTGGAACATGTGAGGCAGATTAAACAGAGGTGATAAGAACAGCGCAGACAATTTTAAAAGAGATAAAAATAATAGAAAGGAGGTAAAACGAAAAAAGAAAAAGCAAAAAGAGATTAGGAATAACAAAAGAGAAAACTACTAAAGAAAATACTCAACAAAAATCACAAACCATGACAAAAGGACTAGAAGCTGTCACCACACTGGACCACAATATATTTATGTAGAGTTTATAGAGCATTCGATGTATTTCTAAAATGTCACTGCTCGTAAATCTCTAACTGATCATTTTCTTTAATGGAAAGTCGGGTTAATTTTTTTTAAATCCATTTACTAGATTTGAAGCATATTATTCACAGATATAATTTTTATTTCAACTGCTACGCTAATGACCATCTTATTAAACCTGGAACAACAAGAAACATTTTGGATCACATTATCTTCTTTAGGAATATAGTCCATAATTTCTTCTTTGCATTGGCAAAATACAAATGAGCTATTTAAAATGAAACAAAAACTGTGGCTTTAATCCAAAGAAGAACAGAATATAGAGAGAAAACACGAGTACAAACCTTCATTTCAGCAGGTTTGTAGTAGCGGCGATTCTTGTCTTCGTTCGCGGTGCGGTAGCCGTCACGGAGGAAACGCTTGAAGCCATATTTGCCACGGAGCTTGCGGACAATCTTGTCAAGTGTCTGAGAGTAAAGAGCATCATCATCAACAGCAAACGCAGGATAGCTGATGGTTGGAAGTAAAGCTGCATCTGTGTTCTGCCGGAGACAAACAAAAAAAAAAAAAAGATTTACAACAATTATGTACTACATGAAAAGTTTTTGCCACATTTGCTATATATAGTACATATTTCCAGACTGATATTTTTACTTCATTTTTTAAAATATATATATTTTTAGCTACATTTAGTGTTTGTGTAAAAATCCACTGGCATTTTAGGTCAGAGAAATATTTTGAAAATTCCACAGAGACCAAAACTTTTCCCGATGACTGCATCTCACAGTCACTTTGCATAACTTCTGAGTATAAAATGAGGAAAGCCAATGAGATAATTTATTGTACATCTATATATTCTACAGAAAGATTTATTAAACAGGCGTGAATGCCCATACGCGGTTTAGGAGTGAAAGTGTCGGTTTATAAATAAAACACTACAGCACTGACTACATTTACATACAGGCTATCGTTAGGAACGAATCTTGTTATCAGGCTTGACAAACCACTGTGACTGAGCATCTAATAGTCCTATTTTATTGTTTGGTTTACTCTATTAAGCAAGGGAAATGAAATCTATCAGGGCATAGCTTCACTGCAAACAGCTATGAATATTTAAAGTTTATTAATAGACGGCAGATTCCAAAAATCAAAGCCTTTCCATATCCCGTCTGAGCACTGGAATCTATAAAATAACTGCAGGGACAAGCGCTCTGACATGGCTATGAACTTGCTTGTCAGCCCGCTTAAGGACCAGATTTCTGTTCTGTTTTGATTTCTGCTGCTCTCCTTTGTAGCGCGTTGCTTTTTTATACTTTGCACATATCTCTGCAGCTCACAGAGGAGCCAGGTGTAGCTCTGTCTAGTCCTATTCATTTATATTCTTCAACTTCTTGTTACAACCCTAATCTACATGGTAACATCCTCAGCAGCTACAGCTGAGAAATCATATCAGCTTGCAACACACTCTGTGCAGGTATTGAATGTGTCTAGAATTGAATACTGGATTTCAATTTTTTGACATATTACATGACATAGTGATAATATATTGATATTTTGCATATCTTGACACAATCCTGACAATTGTTGGTGTCTCCTGCACTCCTTCAGACTTCTTAACGTCAGTCTCCTATGTCTATAATGCCATTGCTGATCGTCTAATTACACTAATTTCCTCCCAGGCTGTTGGTGACTAGACAATTCTGGCTTACAAGTTCGACGCACGCACACACAGACACACAGCTGTAATGATTTAAGTGCCTGCGAGTGTTGGCGAGTAGGAAAGATTTTCTTCACGCTTTCTTCTTTGAGCTTTACCTCTCTGCATCTCTATATCCAGCTCTTACTTTTGCCATTTCTTGTCACTGGTGTACCATCAAGAGCTCAGGTACGGGCAGTGTAATGACTGCACCGTGAGGAACATACATTGTTGAATTGATATCTACTGACACACTGACATGAGTGCGTGGTCTGTTTGATGTGTGTAATTAACCTTATCTGACATATGCGCGACAGGCTACTATTTGGTAGAGACTACGCATACAGCTGCTTCTCTACACCATAAAAGAGCGTTGGGGGAAACGTTTGCGTCACGCTGTGAAACTGTGGATATTTTTCTAAGAACAAAGAGATCAGCTCACAGACAAAATGCAACATTTAAACAATATTTTAATATTTATTCTAGTTCTAATATGATCAATTTAGACTAAATAACAAAAAGGAAATAAAAATACGATTCTTGATTTTTGAATAAACTATTTTAAAAGATTGTTGCACTTTAGAGCAAAACGAAAGGTTACTTGATCACTGTTTTAACGATCACTGCAAGGCGGATATCATAAAAATACTGTGGGAGTTTTTTTGCTCTGACTGCACATTTCTGTATGCTGGTTCAACATTTCTCTACAATAGTTAATAGTTTAAATATTTAAAAAAAATTGAGCAAATGCAAAGTGCTCACTGTGCTGGACTGACATTGTCATCCCAAGACCATGTACCGATTTGTCATAAGCCTTCAGTGAAATTCAGTTTACTGAGTTTGATTCAATTTGCAAGAACAGACACCTCAGAGCACTTCATATTGTGAGGTAAAATTAGACTAATTAGAGTGAGAACTACAACAATCAGACGATCCCCTGTGAAGCAAGCAATGGTGGGAAGAAAGAACCTCCCCCTTTCTCTGGAAGAGACTTCCAGCAGAACCAGGGTAAGGGTTTAGGGGTGAGGTAAAAGAGAGGAGAAAAGGGAGAAAAAAGAGAAACAAGAATAAAATGCATAATGAAGAAGAAATGGTTACCAGAGAGAATCCTGACTACAACCCCAAGCTTTATCAAACAGAAACGTTTTAAGCCTAATTGTAGAAGTATGAGGGTGCCAGTATCTCAACTCCAAACTGTGAGCTGGTTCCACAGAAGTGGTGATTGATAGTTGAAAGCACTGACTTAAGTTCATTCTACGTTTGGAAACTCTAGGAACCACAAAAAAGCCTGCATCTGAGAGTGAATGGCTCTACAAGATGTTTAAGATATGAAGCTGATAATATTTTGCAAATTTTAGAAGAAAAGCGCTCTATTGCACATATTGCTTTGTGTCGCTTCTGCCTTTTGTTACTTGTAAAATCTGTATGCTTTTCTTTGGTTTATTAAAATTATTTAGAAGACGTACACAGTCAATAAATTGATTGATGTACTCACATGGGAGCGAGACTCTCTGGGTAGTAGAGAGCAAAGGGTTTGCCTGTTCCTGTTGTGAGCATCCAGATCCACAAATATCACAGACCATGAGCAGCCCTGCAGCATAAAAGAAAAGCATCCAATTTACAGCTGAACAATTTGTGCTTCACAGTAACATATAGCTCTATACGTGCAAAACAACAAACATACGCAAAGTCCTCCATTTGTCCAAAGAAATAAAGAATAAATAAATAAATATGGAAATGCTTAAAATTATTTGGCTTCAAAGCCTCCGGTATTACACCTCCACACATCAAAACACTGTTTTGCTGTAAAACCAGGCAGATATATTTGGATTGCTCATGTTATTGAAGTGCAGTGTGGGAGTGCTTAAACAACAGCTAGTCATCCGATCACTTTAAAAGTCTCCCTGTACAAAAATGAAGCACTAGGCTACTACCACGATGCAGTTTGTCCATCCAGAGCACTTAAACACTTCCACGAGAGGAAGGGGGGGAACATTTTGTGCTTTTTACTCAGTAAGAGAAGCAATCAAACCATTTTTCAGGTTCTAAAAAAAAAAAAAAAACAGTCCACTGCACTTCATCCATCCATCCATCAGCAGTGCTTATATGAAACCAAGTGGGCAATTCCCCCAAACTGCTAAGCAGTTTCTAATGCAAGTCAGATGCATTATGTATGAATATTTCCAATGTCGCGTTTTTTATTTCTAAAAAAAAAAAAGAAAGAAAAAACACATCTGGCCAAAGCTTTTAGTCAAATCAGCAAGCTTTCCTCTAGAAATTTACATAGTGCATACATAGTGAATTGCTAGCCACCAGTGTAGACAGCTGTGTGACAAGTTAATGAAAAAAACCCACATAAGAAAACAGAGTGTTAGAAAAGCAACGTATAAAAACACTAACCCACAAAGCAAGCATGTAAAATGAGTGTTTTTGCCTTTTAGATTTGAGCCATTTTGTCTTCTTTTATTTAGTCACATTTTTTAAGCAGAAGCAGACCAGCTTATCATGCTTTAACTACTACATTTTTCTATTTACCTCTTTTACAAAAAATAAAAAATAAGTTTGAATATGCACTGTGTATTTGTAGCGTAATATCTCTTGCAACAGAACTAAGCAATATTTAAAAAAAAACTAGGCAATGAGTTAAGAGAAGTCAGTGAAAAACAAGAGAAGACAAACTGTAGAATACTCTCAGTGCAACAGCTCAACCCTTTTTGAGCAGTGGATGCTGTTTTAAGGTTTTCTTCAAACAATCTTTGATTTTAGAAAACTAAGCACTGCTTGTTCCTTGTGCATCTATCACTATGCATCCTCATGAGTGATCTGAAGTAAAAAAAAAAAGAGAAAAGAATGAGTTGACTATAACCTGCAGTCTTTGATAGTCTTTGAAGGCAAATATCTGTCAATATAAATTATTTTCAGGTTTTTCTCAATACAACCATCCTTCCACCTACTGTGAGGATTTGACTCATGCCTCTCAAAAAAACCACTGATGTCATTGGGATTTTTTATGGTCTGCTATGAACATTGATTGAATGTCAATTATTTAAAGCCCATTTTTTAAAGACACTATAATGATTTACTTTGAACTTTAACTTGGCACCACTTTCTATGCACTGATATGTGTATGAAATACATTTAATTTACAGAAATATATTACTCTGGACTTTGTTAGGCGTGTGCTTGGCTCTGCTTTATCCCTGCTCTTGACACGGTGTAAATTAGGTGACAGTCCCTTGAGAGAAACTAGAATGTGTTGGGATTTGATTGTAGAGCCGTGTGTAAACAGCACTGTGAATTTAGAGACCGGCTTTAAAGTTGAAGGATTCTCCTCGTGTGAGATCAATTTTATCCGCCCAGTTCAATTTGTCACACCGAGAGGCTTCTATCATGCGTTCACAGTGTGACTTTGAGGGGGCTGTGGTGAGGGGTCGGGTGTGACTTTTTCAAAACTGAAGGATGCGTGTCTGTCCATGTAATACAAAGGCTAACTGTGATATACAGCCACAAGAGTGTGCAAAAGTATGATAGAAGAGTTAAGAGTGTACTGAATGTTCCGGTTTAGGGCGTCGAGAGGAAGGAGCTACATTTGGTGCTTGAGGGATGAGCGTCAGCTGGGACATCAAGATTGATAGAGATCATTAATAAGCAACTGCAAAGCTTGTAGCATTCCCACAAAGGGGCACGAGACCGACAGAGACAGGCACACTCATTCTCTCTCATGTACAGAAGCCCCATACAGCATGGACCATAAAGCAACCACCTCTATAAATTGATTCTTTCAACAAGCTTGAGCTCAATGACAAAATCCATTTTCAGGCACAGTTAAATCCTTTATTTTGCAGATGTTCAGAAGAGAAACACAAACAGCAACTTTACGGTCATACCCGACAGCCACATACGATGAGAAGATAAACAGTCTGAGCTTAAATGGAGAGAACTGCCACACAAACCATTCTGGGCAAATACCCGAGTGAAGAAAATAAGAAGAAAAGATAATAAGAGAGGAAGCTTGCTAAGTGGAAGGCTTCATTTTCCAATCCATTAGCAGGTATAATGAATGTCTCTGTTTTCTTCTCCTAAAAAAATGTAATAAATAAATAAGAAACATATCCACTAATGGACTTTGCACACAGAAAAACAGCCTCTGAAATTTGGAGGGAAACCTGATTCAACTGTGGCCATCGATCACAGTCTGTAGAAGCACAAACAATTTGCTGAGACAAACACAAACATGCACAAACATACTTTCCTGATCAATCGTCCACTCAGAGAAGCAATCTTGCTACAGTGACAGCGGCACTAATTACACTGATGCTGTCTACCTGTAAATAAACTGCAGTTTTCTACTATTCAGGCTGGTCATCGGGGTGACATTGCACCCAGCTAGGATAACTTCTTGATGTACAGAGGAGATTTGAATGGGCTATAATGCAGTCTACTACCTGGTGGCACAGTTAGACAGGAGACAAATCAATGTGAGTTCGGAAGAGGTGGCAAAGTATAAGAAGTCAGGGAATCAAATACCTGGTTTCCAAACAGGTTGAATCCATTGATGGCCTCCAGTGCAGCTTTAGCAAGGCCCACAGAGCTGAAAAGAAACCGCAAACTTTCACTAAAACATACAATAAGCAAGTATAATTCAAACTAACATTGATCAGTTTAAGAATATATTATTTTTCATTCTTAAGAAAGCAGAAAAAATGATGCAACGTGAGCCAAATGTGCTTTAAAAATGTCAAAAGTCCCCAAGGTTCACCAAAAAGCCTTCTGAATCACATTTGAATCTTAAATGGCTATCTGTTAGGATTCAATAAAGCTGAAGGCTCCTGAGATTGTGGTCTACTTTCGATAATGGATGATGGAGAGGAGAGAAAAAAAAACATAGTGCATTTCACAGTGGCTGGCTACTGTGATTGCAATGCAGCCTAAATGCGAATCAATTTTACTGTCATTTTGTTTCCCTTTCTACCCTACCAAGATTTCCCTAGAAAAGAACAGAGAGGAGAAAGGGAAAAAATGCAGGAAACTTGCCGCTGACTGGTGGTAGATGTGCTGACATATTAAAAAGCATTAGTACAGATGATGGGAGGCTAATTTAGCCTCTAAAAGAGTTCTGCTGAAAGTAGTTTTGTGTAACACACAGAGATACACAAACACGTGCAAACTGACAGCAGTGGTCAGAAATCCTGACAGTACCTCACATGTACATAGAATGCTTTAAAGCTCTGTGGAAACCCAGGGTGTTAAAAAAAAGTGATGCTTGGAATCAGGACCAGAGTAAAATGATGATGCAACCATGTCGGTTGACAGGTGGAGATAAGGATTCGCATGATGAAAATATTGCTGCAGACTGTACAACAGTCTTCTGCTACTCTGAGAGTAGGTGTGTTTACATACAGTGGTTCAGTATTGATCCACACACACCGACTTTTCTTTACTTGATTAAAAATGGACAAACTCATTGTGATTCTGCAGTTGACAGAACCACCAACTGCTCAGGAACGATCCATTGGGAACCCTGTGAGCTTAGAGACATATTCGTGTTTCGAAGCCGGACGTGACAGTTGAGGAATGGTTCTAATATGGAGTTTAATTATTATAGAGATCGTGTTTCCATGGAGCCATTCTGAATTGTTTAGTTTTTGGATACGCCATGGTAATTAATACAAGAGCACATATATAAGCCAACTCATTAACTGGGGGAATCCAAAAGCATAGAAACACGAGAAGACACAGCACTCAATACACTGAATTTGTTATCTTTTCTTGACGACATCTTGACAGGCTGGTGCCAATAGCTCTGGATTGTTGGAGAAAGAAAAAAAAAGACATGCTTTTCAGAGATAAGCAATAGCAGAAATTGAGGATCTTTATCAAGAAACCGAGCGAGGAGAGGAAGGCCAGTTTGACCTTGGATGATAAATCAGTTAGGGAAAACGTAACAAAAAGTCAGCACGGAATAGTGCTGGTGTTTGAACAGGTTGTTCCAAATCCTTATCTGCATGGAAGTTAACCATTCAGATGGCTGGTCCATTACATTTTCTTTTAATATAGGTTATTTACTTGCTGACTGACATTTTTTTAAGCAACCAACTTGTGATGATGTGACATTTCCATCAGTACACACTGACCCGACAAACGCCTCTCTAGATCAAATAGACTTGATTATAAAGAAAAGCATTACATGTTCCCACATTTCTGCTGCTTCCTGCAGGAAATACAGTGTTTTTACATTTATTGTTTGGCACTGATTTATTTATATGGACAGGAAAGAAAAAGAAGATTGAATAGATAAGAGTCCTTCTTGCTATAGTTGTTTTCTCTATAAGCAAAAACCAATGACTGTTTCCTACAGTCATTGGCAAAAACCATTAGAATTTAACAATCTAGTGAATTAAAACACAGATATTACAAATAAACTTGACTCAGAGCCCTGTTACTAAAAATCTGAAATAATTAGAGGTTTTGTAGTTAATTTCAAGAAGATGGAACACTCTACATCATTGTTGTTTTTCCAAGTGCTGCACTCACCGTCAGTGAGACAGAAACAGAGGGCCCAGGCAAATATGATTTGCAGTTACATAAGAAGGAAACCAAAGTAATACTTTAGTAAAACTAAAAGATCTGTTTTAACAGGTGTATTTATAAAACTAGAAGAGTATCAAGGTATAGTTTCTCTTGGCCCATGGAGCATTTAAGCACTGTTGCGTTTTTAAAAAAACTATTGTTTCTCTCTTGTGACTCATCAGTAGGCACCTCAGTTTACTGCTAAACCCACTGCTCAATCCCCAATTTAAAGCAACAGCTGCTAAGATTAAAAAAAAAGGGTAAAAGAAAAAAAACATGAGCAGCTAAGGTGAGCACAGTGAAGAATTTACCAGCTAAAGAGTGACGCATTTCCCTCAGGTGTGGGTGGACAAGGTGGTGGAAGGTGACTCGATATTGGTCTACTCATCAGATACACACAAAAAATGACTCCAAATGCATCCTAATGCATTAGACGAGTGGATGTGTAAAATGGCAACTCTTAAGTGACACATTTAGCATATTAAATATATGTAAAATATATCCATCCATTCTCTTCCCTTTGTCCATTTCAGGGCTGCGGATGGCGCTGGAGCCTATCCCAGCTGTCTTAAAGCGAGATCCAGGGTAGAACCTGGACAAGTTGCCAGTCTGTCGCAGGGCTAACACATAGAGACAGACAACAATTCACACCGAAGGGCAATTTAGAATCACCAGTTAACCTAACCCCAAAAACTGCATGTCTTCGGACTGTTGGAGGAAGGTGAAGTACCCGGAGAGAACCCACTCAGAAAGACCCCGGCCTGATGATGGAAGTGAACTCGAGACCTTCTTGCTGTGAGACAACTGTGCTAACCATGAAATATGGGTTTGCTCTAAAAACATTTATTTTGAATCTTTGACACATTCTCACATCTTTTTTCTGGTGTTACATCTTTCCCACAGACCTTATTTCAGGTATGTAATTTAAGAGTTTTAGGACTTTTGCAGCACCCTGCATACAGGACATATTCTGACCAGTACTACAAAAGTGGTAAAAGTATAGAGAAAAGAAAAAGAAAGTAAAAAAAAAAAAACGAGAGTGTGGAGAGAATTTTTTTGTGTGATCTTTTTACTGACCTGGAATGCAGCTCAGTGCTGCCATTATTGTACTTGCTGCCTCTCTCCCACATGCCAAAGTCAGGTACCCTATATGCTCTTTCCACACAGAAAACCAGGTTCTGGATGAAGGAAACCTGCATGTAGAAAACAAACATACATGGGACACTCAGAAAAAATGCAACATACTGTGTTTATGCAACCTGCATACACAGAGTATACACACACACACGCCCATGTATGCATAAACAGGGCAAGAGACAGAAGATGTGTCCAAAAAGAAAGTGGAATCGCAGTACATAATGTAAAATGCAGCTGTGCACGCACACACGCACATGTATATATATATATATAAATGAACGTCTGGATCCATTGATAGATGACCTTTGATACTGATCTGGGGTGATGAGCATAACTCTCTCATTACAAAGGTTACTACGGTGAAAAAGAAAGCTGATTTCTAATCCATGCTCAAGGTGAAACTGACCCTATGGCTAGACTGTAATTAAACAGGATAGAGCACCAGTATGTGAAGCTGGAGCTTCATTGCCTTGTCAGCTACCCATAACTATAAAGACACTAAATCAACACACTTTACAAATTCAACTTAAAACAAATGCCACCCTTTAGATACAGGCTCTAAAAACTCATCAGTAGTGTTGTTGATTCCACCAAACATTACAGCGGCATCGAAATGTTTAAAATTGCAGTTAGCCGATTTCAGATGTTTCTTATAACTAGCATCTGGCCCACGCAGATTCCTGCAAAATTACACAGTATACATATAGGAAAAAAATCAACTAAAAAGTGAAACATATAATGTGCCAGCACACTGGTGTATGTGCTTGAGTGACGGTAGATTTAATCTAAAATGACAAAGTGGTGGAGGGAAATTGAGAGATGAGAGTAGAACAGCTGAAAGAGAAAGACAGAACCTGTGCAGGTCTTAAATAGGCCAGGCAGTGAGGATGGGCAGAGAGAGAGGGGGCAGAGCAGATGAGGCTGGGAAAGAGGGAAAGGTGTTTGCCGGGTCTCTTATTGGGGGGTTTTATGAGCAGAGTGATTAACGAGGGGAACTTTTTAGTATCTTAATGGTATCTTAATGAATGTTACTGCCCGTCGGCCAAATGAGCCCCTCTGTCTCCCTGCTACTAGAAAACCATCCTGGCCAGTTCTGCTTTTTTTCCCCTTTTTTTGTGTGTGTGTGTGGGGGGGGGGGGGGGCTGACTATTTGGGAACATGGGCACATTGGCAAAAGCACACTACATGTGCTTCTGCTTTTACCATGTGCCAGCAGCTCTCACATATACTCCTGTGTGGAAAAAAAAAACAACACCCCAGACATACAAACTGGCTAATGAGTCGCTCCATTTCATGCTGCATGAAACTGAAAATGGCATCTGGGAGGAGGTCGATAGTGTATCTTCTCAGAGGACATGCACCAGCCTTTCTATGCCACTCTAAGAAAAAAAAATATACTGCAATGCAGCTTCCAGCTCAGTCAAGTGAACACCGATGGACTTCACAAGCAGTGACAGCTAACAGCAAACTAATAAACACTCTAATAATGTGATTAGTCCAAATGAAACACATTTCAAACAGTGTTCAGTGAGAAAGCTAATCTCAAACCCTTATGCTCCGTGCATCTGATGTTTGTTAATGTGCGATTGGGGGCGGCGTGCTTCGGTTTGTATTACACAACCTAATAAGCACTGTTTAACCATGCAAATTACAGTTGCTGCACAAACAGGACTGCCCTCATAAAAAAGTTACATTGTCAATTTGCTTTGTTCAGAGTAAGAAATGGAGAAAAATGAGAGATGACTGGGTTGGGAGGTGTGCGTACGCTCACTAATTGGTTAGCGGTATAATGTTTCACCATGTCCTTACTTTCTTAAGATAAGCTCAATTTAGTAAACAAATGGATTCCTTTACCAGGGGCACAAATTTCACTGCTCTGTGGCAGTAAGTAAAGCTGAGCAGGCTGTAAAAACTAACAGAATTAATGACGTTCCAAATACTCCTGCGGGCCACATAATAAACAGCACAGTGTGTAAACTTAACAGCCAAGTTGCCTTCTTGTTTTATTTAGAGCCAAACATAAAAAAGGCAAAAAAAAATGACACCAACAGATAAATCAAACTACAAGAGACCGTTCAGCTTTACAGTAATAGAGGGCTGGTGTGTTGCCAAACACAACGTTACCGGTTCGATTCTCAGGAGGCTATTTAAGCTTCCACAATGAAATCATCTAAACGTTTCTCTGCTGAAAGTCAACTGAGCGGCTCAGCAAGAGCATAAATGTGAGCCAAGCTATAAAAGTGAGATACTGTCCCCTGATCCTGCATTTGTGTCGGCTCTAGGATATCTGTAGGGGATTTAGGATATATCTAACTGGCTTTAGAGACCCTTTGGTCTTACTTTACAGCAGCTAGCTCAACCTGCAGAAGGTAGCATCAGATTACTTAGATCATTTAAACTATATCGTGGTGTATTTTAGAATAAATGCAGAATTTCACAAAAAAAAAATTCCAAAGATTAGAGAAGCTGTGAGATCTTTTAAAATACAACATTGCCATAGATGCACAGCACCATGGAAAATCCACAAAGTGATAAAATGTAACAAAATAAACTCTGTAGTTATTTTTCATGCAGTTTATAATCATAATCAGTACATTTAACCTTGACAGCAAGTGAGACCAGAGATTGACACTATTTGCCTCTGCTTCACAGTTTAGAAAATGTAGCGATAAACAGGCCAACATTTAGATCCTAATATTCAAAACCGCAGTCATTTTAACGCCGTGTTTACCTCGTCGGTGTTGAAAATGATCTGCAGATCAGAGCAGATCATCTCCACCAAGTACAGCAGGAATAAAGAAACGGCATCGATCTGTAGAGGTGACAGAGGGAAGTAGAGTGGATAAGATGCCATCAAAGCAATTACTATCATTTGCACATACACCGTATAATAACTTCATACTTAGAAATTTGCTTCAATTTCTCGCACAGTGCAGAGAATGAGACGAACTTTACAGCAGCTATTAAACTTTTGACATTGGAAATCATCAACAATGGTGAAGTTGCTGGAAAAAATAGAATAATCAATAAATAAGTTATTACCTGTTTTACATTTTTGAATGTTTTTTCTCCCCTCACAGGCAACTAACCTTGCAGCTTTATTTCGATTTCTCTCTCTCTCTCTCTCTAGCTCTCTTGATGTATTGGCCACCCTTCACTAGAAATGCGTTCTCCATTCAAATGCTACACACCAAACTGACCTCTGTTAATACCACTGATAGAGGAACAAGCCGTTTTAGTGCCAATTTAGTGCACAAGCACTTCTCGGAGAAAGTCATTTTTC